TGGGCTTCCACTGCATTCATCAATAATCCTATTTGGGCCATTATCCTGGGCTCCCAATTGGGCTTCACTCTTTGGGCTATTTAATTTGGACTGCATTTTTAGTGTGTCAACAGTATTGGATCCATATAATTGGAGAAAATGTAGGCAATACTGCTTGAACTGGAGCTCGCATGTGAATCAAAACGTAAAATAAAATTACCATATTAACTCAAACAAATCATTGATCCAGAAACAATATTACGAAATATATAAAATTCTGCATCTACGAGACAAAAATCACAATAAATTAAGCCTTATTCTCAATAAAATTGATGTAGGAGTTGGAAAAAAATATAACCAGGCATTATTGTGATGCGAAGAAAGAGCACGATCTCTATGTGAAATGGATGCACCACCACCCTTCCTGTTAATTCTCCGCTGTGGCTGCCGTTGAATAACCCTCTCCGACAAAATGTTGTCCTCAGATATTGATGAAAGAGATGGCCTCCAATCAATAACCCCACAACGCCTCTCCCCGGCGCCCATTCTCCTCTTCCGCCCTACGCGGAGGTGAGCTTCTGTCGCTACCAGCAATCTCGACTTCTCCGGTGGCTGCTGCTGAGCCCTTGACCCACTATAGCCAGACCTACAACACAAGAAAAACTTCATAATTACACACAAAACAACCAATAACAAAAAAGATTAGGAACAACCTATGAGTAATTCTATTCTCTATGAAAAATGGTGATTACTGTTAGCCATTTGATTTATATTTCCTTCTTTTGTGCATTTTTCATGTGTGTGTTTCTTTCTTCGAAAATCAATTGTGCAATTTGCAATCTGGTGTTATTATAGATGGGTAGCTTGCTTTTCAGCAAAAGTTTTGTTTATCATTATCATATAATCGGAGTTAATGCTCCACAAATCTCAATTTTATTACGTGCAAATCCTGTTTTTAAATAGTGGAGGTCCCATGAATAGCCGGCGGGAAAGATTCAATATTTTGGGTGATTGAGTAGTTGCAATTACAAATGGAGCCCCCAAACTTTACGAAATGTACTACTTAAATCCCTATTTAAGTTTTCTTGGCATATGCATCCTGACATCAAGCCATGTTTGATTTAGCTAAAAAAAATATTTTTCATAAATTTTGATAAAAGTTGACGAAATATATGATTGAAAAGTTGATAAAAGTTGTAGTGCCCTCGAAATATAAGATTAAAAATGAGTTTAAAGAAAAATAAATTGTAGAGAATGAAAACCAAACATCTTATTCATCCATTTTTTCCCATTAAAGTGACACATTGTATATGAGATCCTCTTATTTAAGGGATTATTATTGTAGAGGTGTTAAATAGATGAAAGTCCAGCTCAAGGTCATAGTAAGCATGGACCACTCATGCTAAAAATACGATTTTGCTACTTGTACATAATGAAATAAGAAAAGAAATATTATCTTCTCTTATAAATCTTTCTATTATTTTCTCTTATAATATTTATAGCTTTTTGTCTTCCCTTAAAATCTTTAGGATCTTTTATCAAGTAACTCCGACACTAGTAGATAGAAAGCTCAGTGATTTGCTTCTTGATCTGTAAAGAGGAGTCACCTCTATTTCTATCTAATGCGGATAATATGTGTCTTTCTATAATAACTAATTTACCGATTTGTCAATTTTCTAAATAGATATTAATAGACTCTTTAAAACTTTCTAAAGAACAATAAAGCAAAGTATGATCGTCTAATGGCAAAAAATATAGAGAATTAAAAACAATATGTTTGTAATAGCCTTAGAGCACTTTACCATTCAACAAATTAATTTCTTCAAATACTTTTTTTTAACTCTCTCTTAGCTTTTTTCTTGACCTTCTAAAATGGCTTCAGACTGTAACCAAAAAGGATTTTCATCATGTTTAAAAGTCTTAACAAACTTACTTAATAAGTAAAATAGCCAACTTAACTCAAATGATTACTTTATCTTTTTGGCCATGGAATCCAGAATAAAGAGGCTAAGAGCATAAAGATTAGGATAATATATGGAAATAGAATATAGCTTTTGAATAAATTGATTGCTTACTTGGTGTTTCCTCTTTTAGGCCTTGCCCGAAAAATAAATGAAGTAAACAGAAATTATAAACAAGAGAGTATGAAAATGACTTACTTTTATTGCTAAAATCTTTGAATCTACAAGGATTGAATCTATAGGGACGTCTTTGAATTTTTGAGTGCAAATGTTATAGTGTACTATGCTGCTATTTTTGTCGGTGTGTTCTTTTTGTAAGTGGTGTCGTCATTTATAGACTCTGGTACATCACGTCTATTCTTATACAACTTTATAGGTGTATGATTTACAATTGAAGAAAAAGTAATTGGTACTATACAACTCTACATGTGTATGACATATATATAAAGAATTAAATGATTCTTCATCGCCGTGAGAATGTTTTGAAATTTTTGTCTTCTTAGCCCCAACTTCTTGAGTTTCTTGGCTTGATAATTGTCCTTTAAGCACTATTCATCTGTCTTTTGCTTTTCCTTTACGTCTCTTCTTCTTTAATTGCCTATCTATCCATCATCTTTATGTAGGCTTCTTCTAGGCCTGCATCCATTTCATTAGTTTGGTCATCTAATATGTATTCTTCTTCTGTATCTGATTGCCTTTATGTTGATTTATCATTTGCTTCTTAGAAGGTCATCAAATATAGCTCCTTTTGTTCAATATTTGGTGCTGGAATTTTTTCTATTTTAACCTTTAAAGCAAGATGCTCTTGACAGAAAATAACTTCATTATTTCATTGAGCTACAAGTCTGAAATTATTGTTTTGAGCTTCCATTATTGCCACAGTCTCCAAGATTCATCTTTCATAGTCAATATGTCTAATTTTTATTTTCGTATTGGTCTTAGAGGAAGGTCGAAATCTTTTGGCTCCTTCATATATTGAAATATGGTGATAAGCTGGAATTATTATACCATTATTTACAAAAATGAATTGAATCATCAAATGGTGATCTTTTAACTGACTAAGAATATGTTTAAGTTTAGGTGAAAAAAATCTGAAGGATCTGTTTAGAATGTATATGGTGTCTATCATACCAAATTTTAAGGTTGGATAAAAAAGGTCTTCTTCTTCAAAAATTGTATAGTCGAAAGAGATTGTAGGATAATTGTGTCTAAGAAAGGATGACTTAGTGGCTGATTCATATTTAGGGCCATGTTTAAGAAAGTATCGATTTTTGTTGTGATAATAGCTTAGAATTTGAGAGAAATCGACAATTTCTTGTACTACTGACTCTTTTATAGCACTTCGGACAATACTGACACAATCGTCAATTTTCTGTTCTAATTTATATAAAGTATTTTCTTAAATAATTGTATAGTTGAAAGAGATTGTAGGATAATTATGTCTAAGAAAGTCTGACTTAGTGGTTGATTCATATTTAGTGCTATATATAAGAAAGTATCGATTTTCGGTGTGATAATAGCTTAGAATTTGAGAGAAATCGATATTTCTTGTACTAGTGACTCCTTTATAGCACGTCGGACTATACTGACACAATCGTCATTTTTTTGTTCTAATTCATATAAAGTCTTTTTTTGCCATGCAGCTGTAGAATCTGTCAATAAGTCTTTCTATTTTATCAAAATAATTTCAACTTTTAGATGCAATATCTTTAGAGATAGGTCTTTCAACAACATCTTCAGAACTTAATATTTTTAAACTATCATGTAACTAGAGAATCTCATGTTGATATTTACTAATAGTTTGTTGAGATGAAGAGATTTTGTCTTCAAGGATTTGTAATCTTTCTTCTAATGACTACTTTCTAAGATTTAAATTTCTAACAACCTTGGTCATAGTTTCACAACTATCACAAAGTTGTATTGAAGATGATGATGACACTTGAGAAGTAACAGATTGCATAGTCTGTTTAACCCTTTCAAATATATAAAAATTAAAACCTATCATTTCTCTACAGAAATATAAAGCTTCTTCTAATGTGTAGAATCCTTTGAAAAAGGGATTGGGAAATCTATCTACTTGTTGGGCTTTCTACCTTTAACTACTGCAAAGAAACAAAAATTTATGCTTTCTACTTGATTGTGAATCTGTCTAAAACGATTGGCTAAGGCATTAATGCTATCTAATTTTTGTTTAGAGTCACGTGTCATCCAGAGATTATCTAGTAGACAACGCTCCCTTTTCTAGTAGTCTTTCTAAATTATTTCCTCCGAATTGAAGATTAGATCCTTGTGGGGCCACTCTTAGAGTGACATTCCCAAAGTTCATCATCCTCTGATCCATCTGCACCATGAAAATAATGGGTTAGAAAATTAATAACTTGTCTACTTAAATTATCAGCCAAAATATTATTTTTCTGTCTGTGTTCTATGTTAATTTTAAAGTTGTTTAATATCTCATATAATTTTAACCATCTTTTATGTCTTATTTTATCAAAGTTTGTCTTTTTAATAAATTTTACTATAGCTTCACAATATGTCCTACTTGTAAATTCGGTATTTAAAAATAATATAAAGATTTCTATACTATGTATGATCGCCATTATTTCATAATCTAAACTAGTCAAATATTTTCCTAACAAATCTTTCCTTCTTTTTTATCACTATATTTATTAGGTTTGGAATATAAAACTCCTCCCCATCCAAGTTCACATCCATCTGTTTCTATTATTTTATATTCGCTCTCTAACGGTAATTCTAATGGTGATAAATTTTTAACTTCTTCTTTTATTTCTCTAACTAGTTCTAGGAACTGTATAATTGTCTGTACTATATGTGGTTGCAATTGGATTTTTCCTTTTCGTAAAATTATTCCTAAAAATTCAATTTGTTGTTTATTTATTTCCATATTCTTTTTACTTATAATTAAACCGCTTTCAATAAATTTATTTAAATCTATTTCTAAATGTTGCATATGTTCTTTCTGATTTTTACTATGTACCAAGATATCATCTATATATCCGCAAATAAATGGAAAAGAATTAAAAATACTATCCATCTTTCTTTGAAAAATAAAGGGTGCATTCTTTAATCCAAAATGCATGACTAACCATTCAAAATGTCCTAGTGGTGTAGTAAAAGATGTCCAAGGAATAGAATATTTTGCCATTTTTATTTGCCAGAATCCAGATTTATAGTCAACTTTTGAAAATATTTTACTATTTTGTATTTTATTTATTAACATGTCTTTATCTGTTATCTTATATCCATCTTCTACAGTATTATCATTTAATCTTTTATAATTTATAACCATTCTTGCTTTGCCTCTTTTAATTTCACTATGATTTCTGAAATCATAAAAGCTGCAGATGTATGTTGACTACTGGATGATCTTATTACCTTTTGATAAGTGTAGTTTTTACACCCCCTAAATCATGATATTTATTGTATTTTGGATTAAATTTTACCTAATTTATGTTATATTGTGTTTTGTAGGTAAAATTTTATGTTTAATGAAGAATTAGAGAAAAGAATGTAAAAGTGACGAAAAATGGCAAAATTAAAAAATGAAACCTTGGAGAAAAATATTACATTAAATGGATTCGAATTAAATGGGCTTCAATAGACTTGCATTGAAAATTTTAATTGGAGGCCTATATNAGCAAATAAATAATTATGATGATTGTAATTATTTTTCCTAACTACTTTTAA